GAGGGTGTTTTCCGTGAATAGCTGAACTTTCTTTTCTCTGTGATTGATGTCCCTATTTGAAGCAAGTTGCAACCTACCTTGCCATCAATCCAAGTAGAGGGCATAACAGCGCAAGAACACGGCTTTCTTGCTGGTCTGGTCCCGAAGCACATGAGCAGCCCTCCGGTACTCGCGGCAGTCCAAATAGGACTTGGCCAGAAGGTAAAAGTCACGGTCTACGGCATCGTTATCGTCCTCCAGCACCGGAGTGGACACATACGATACTCCGGCAATCGGCGTCGAAGCGCTCTCATTGGTGCGAAATCGCCGGCGAATACTGGAACTTCCTCGCTGGAATTGAGTGTGAGAGGAGGTGAACTTCGCTGGATCTTGCTCGATTCCCACCAACTGTTCGGATGCCCATTTGGAGTGTGAAATGAGTTTGAAAAGAGAGAGAGACCTCACCTACTCCACTAAACCTAACCCACTACACCACTACCACCATCCACTACACCTACATCTATATAAGGAACCATTTGTAATAGACAGAAATTAATTAATATCAATCAATAATACATTGAATTTTAACTGCAGATTACTTTTCTATGATTTGTCTTCCTAAAAATAATCTTTAATGCTTTTGATGAGATTTTCAGAGAATATTGTCTTAAGAAAGTAAATCATCAATACTAAGAAAGTAAATAGGCCAAACAGGTGTGTCTTCTCTTCTAATACAAATTTGAGAAGGTACAAAGCCCCCTTCATAGGAACAGTTAAGTAACATACAATGAAACTCAACCCTCAGACTGCACCCTAGGTATAACCTGATAACTGGTAAAGAGGCTTGTGGGTCTGTGACTCTGAAGTCTGTAATGCAGATGAATCGTTCCGTTACTTGGATTAAGCAATAATGTAGCATTCATGTTTCGGTTTACGATGCCACTAAAATGATATAGACATTCATAATGTCCTCATTTACACTTGCTGGACAAACAACCATAGTGAAACCATCCTTCCTAGGATCTTGGGAATAGACTAACCGACTACCCTTATTTCCTGCCTTCTATACATAGAGTTTTAAAAGGCTTTCCTAAAGCTCGCCTTGCCTTGAGGCAAAGGTAAAACTGTTAAAATTGATGTATTATTGATTGATGTGTTGATATTGTTGTGTAAATTACAGATGGTGAGGTACTCATTATATAGGAGAGGATTGGGGAGTAGGTGAGTGTGTGTGGTAGGTGAGTTGAGTGGAGGTGGTAGGTGATGATATATTTTAACAAAAACGCATCAAGGTTTTGATTTTTAGGCATTACTCCCCAAAGGCTTGTGCTTCATAGTTTGAGACATGCGCCTTAGGTGCGCTTTGTATGCTTTTTGCAAATAAGCATGTGAGGAGTATGCGCATGTAGAGGTTGCCTTGGGCTTTTGTTAAACTTAGTCTATTAGATTGTTTAAACATAAAAAAATAAAAAGAATCCCTTTTTGCAACTATATTCTATTGGAAAAATTAAGTAAATGATCAATCAAGAAAAAACACAGTTAATGGTAAAGTGAGAAGCTCAATCACTGAAGTTAAAAATATCAATTTCACTTTCAGTAAAGGAAAACTTCTTTCTATGTAGTAAAATGTTCAACAGATTAAAGCGAAAAGCATTTACATCTTTATATTTAATTTTGTTTTCATTTTTTTACTATTTTAAAATATTTAATTTATTCACTGAAGATTAAAATTTGAAATTTGAAATTTGAAATTTGAAATGCTTACGCCTCAACGCCCTGAGACTTACGCCTCGCCTCATGAGGGGTAAAACGCCTCGAGGTACACATTCACCTTTAAAAACTTTGTCTATACATAGTCCTTGTTTATAGCCTAAATTAGTTTGCATCACTTGGTAATTCTTCCTCCACAATTACAAAATGTTTGTAGATGCTAGATTCTTTAAGCTAGTGTGGGTGAGAGGTGTGGCTAGAGGTAGTCCGGGAAGATGGCGGGCACTTCAATGGCCTGAGATCACCGGAGGTGGAGAGGAGGAAGTCAAGGCAAGCCTATTTTTTATTTTTTAACTATCCTTGTGCTGAATGAAGTTCTCTCTTAGTACATCTTAGTTTAGTTGGACTGCAGCTCATCTTTTCATGTTGCTGTGATGGTCTTGAATGCCTATTATGTGTGCATTATTCTTTTGTTCCTACTTCTGCTTTACATTAGTTACACCGATATGTTAATATCATCCTAGGCTAGCAGATTACTTTTCTATGATTTGTTTTCCTAAAAATAATCTTTAATGCTCTTGATGAGATTTTCAGAGAATATTGTCTTAAGAAAGTAAATCATCAATACTAAGAAAGTAAATAGGCCAAACAGATGTGTCTCCTCTTCTAATACAAATTTGAGAAGTTACAAAGCCCCCATCATAGGAACAGTTAAGTAACATATAATGAAACTCAACCCTCAGACTGCACCCTGGGTATAACCTGATAACTGGTAAAGAGGCTTGTGAGTCTATGACTCTGAAGTCCGTAATGGAGATGAATCGTTCCGTTACTTGGATTAAGCAATAATGTAGCATTCATGTTTCGGTTTACAATGCCACTAAAATGATATAGACATTCATAATGTCCTCCTTCACACTTGCTGGACAAACAACCATAGTGAAACCATCCTTCCTAGGATCTTGGGAATAGACTAACCGACTACCCTTATTTCCTGCCTTCTATACACAGAGTTTTAAAAGGCTTTCCTAAGGCTCGCCTTGCCTTGAGGCTAAGGTAAAACGCATCAACATTTTGATTTTTAGGCATTACTCCCCAAAGGCTTGTGCATCGTAGATTGAGAAATGGGCCTTTGGTGCGCTTTGTATGCTTTTTGCGCATAAGCATGTGAGGAGTATGCACATGCAGAGTTTGTCTTGGGCTTTTGTTAAACTTAGTCCATTAGATTGTTTAAACATAAAAAAAATAAAAAGAATCCCTTTTTGCAACTATATTCTATTGGAAAAATTAAGTAAATGATCAATCAAGAAAAAATACAGTTAATGGTCAAGTGAGAAGGTCAATCACTGAAGTTAAGAATATCAATTTCACTTTCAGTGAAGGAAAACTTCTTTCTATGCAGTAAAATGTTCAACGGATTAAAGCGAAAAGCATTTACAACTTTATATTTAATTTTGTTTTCATTTTTTTACTATTTAAAAATATTTAATTTATTCACTAAAGATTAAAATTTGAAATTTGAAATGCTTACGCCTTAACGCCCTGAGATTTACGCCTCGCCTCATGAGGGGTAAAACGACTCGAGGTACGCATTCACCTTTAAAAACTTTATCTATACATAGTCCTTGTTTATAGCCTAAATTAGTTTGCATCACTTGGTAATTCTTCCTCCACAATTACAAAATGTTTGAAGATGCTACATTCTTTAAGCTAGTATTCACGTGGGTGGGGTTTTGGTGATGTGGCACCTGTAGGGCTTACCACATATTGAGCTTGATACAAGTACCCACAGCTAGTAGTTAAGAATCACGGACACCTCTAAGAAAGTAACGTGTTGTGTCTGACACCGTGTGACGCTCGTTGAACACTTCCCTATTTGATAGTTTGATATACATTGTTGGGCTTATTTCCTAACACTTAAGCTTTTGGGATAATTGGTGACTTAACATGGTATTAGAACTAGGGTTGACAGAGGTCTTTTTAAGTTGAAGTCTCTCCGTTGGCATTTGGTATTCTGCCCTTGTTTGGTTTCTTCTTCTTTATTTGGTTGTTTGCTTTTTTTTTGTTTGGTTTCTCTATTTGTCTCTCCAAATAAATAACATATAATAATTATTTATCCTTGCATCTGCCATATAATAAATATATAAAATTATATATTTTGCACGTGTCCCTTGCGTGCCATGTCCTACATTTTTTAAAAATTTACGTGTTGGCATGTTCGTATCATGTCACGTGTCAGTGTCCGTGCTTCTTAGGCTACCAGCAATGTAGCTTTAACAATTAGAACTTTGCCACATTGTTAAGTCTTTTTGAATGACAAATAAATCTGGAAGATATATGGAGATATATGCACATTAACTTGCTTATTTATCCAGATAATAATGGCAATAATTGTTATCATTACACTTAATAATTGTAGAAAAGAATGCATGGAAATCAAATGGCAAAATAAGGTTCAGTCATCTTATTTTTTGTTGAATTGACTTCTTAGTATTGTTATAATCCATTTGAAAGGAAAGATGTTGTGCACTCTAAAAGTGTGCATTTTGAAAATGGAAATCATATAAAGTACACTTTTCAAGACTTAAAGGTTTGTTTGATAAGGGAAAATGCCTCATCTTTAGGTTGGAAGAAGAAACAGGAAATCCGTGTTGAACTTCTAGGTTCTCTGTTTCATCTTGATACCAAACTTTATAGTATGGATCATTTCTGTGTAGGGCTTTCTTTTTTATTTTCTTCCAATCTCTTTCATTCTTTTTGATGCAGCAGCAGTACATGGAGGAAGAGTCTGATCCGTTTGCTCTTTTCTTTGCATCATTGTTTCCCCTAAGCTTTTTCTTTTGATTCAGTTTTTGTTTTTAAATTATTCCTTGAACAGTTTAGGTCTTTGAAGTTATTATGGTAATTTACTCACAGTAGGGAATTTTTTGCCTAATATATTGCACTTTGATTATCCATTATAATGCACCTAATAGAATGACCAGAAAATCATGATTCCCTCAATAGTGTTTCCTTCCAATATGTTATGTGTTCAATTTCATTTCCTGTGCGTACAGCATAGTGCTTGCGTACCCCATCTGCTAGTATGATGACAGCATCAACAGGCAGTCTGGAAAAAGTTGAAATAAAGAATACATGTGGGGGACAGAAATATTGGATTGGATATTTAAATGCCTTTTCATCGTTAGTTGAAATCATTCTTAATCTAAATATTATGTGATTCAACAAATTTATCTAGTTTTTATTTTTTTTTTCTTCTTTTATTGGTTTTGAATCTTGATGGATTGCACAGGAATTGAAAATAGACGGGCAATTGCCTGAGAAAGTGTCTTGCTATGAAGGCGTGTTTTGTAATTATTTCAGCATAGGTATGACATTTTGGCCTTAAGAAACGATAAATGATTCATATTTCAGCTGTTTTTATTTTTTTATTTTTTAACCCAATTATAGATTTGTTACATCAAACTTGCAGCCTTTGAGCTTTTCATTTTAATTTGTCATGAAAGTTTGAACTTTCCTTCCAAAATGTAGCTTTGACTCAATTTTTATGGGGTTGTGCAAAGTGAGACTTGTCCTTGCCAAATCAATATGTATTGCAAGGGGTTTGGATTTTATGTTTTTCCACTCATCATCTTCTTGAACTCATACCTAGCATTTTCATAGAAAAGCTGTCTATAAAATTAAATTACTCATCTGATGAAATTATTATTGTTATTTTTTTTGGTGTCAAATGGTCCCAAATTAAGTAGTAACAGAAGATCCTTGCATTTACCCAGAAAACGTTACCCAACTTGCAAGGGTTTGCTAGCTTAACCTTCTTCCACCATTCAGCTTTGATTACCTTCTTCCCCCATTCAGCTAGAAGGAGATTTTTGTTATCCGAAAAAAAAAAAGAAAAAAAGAAAAAACCCCGATTAAAAGAGACGGACAACTTAAGTTGATGAATAATAGAAAGTATGCCATTGTAAGATTTGTTTGAAATTTTGATGCAACCTCTTATTCAGTTGCTTTTGATGAATTTGTTATCCTTGATGTTTTTTTCAGTTGCTTACCTTAGATATATATGGATGCAGGAATGGATGCACAAATTGCTTATGGCTTTCATCATTTACGCAATGAAAAGCCTTACCTTGCACAAGGTCCTTTTGCAAATAAGGTCTGACTGTATTTCTGTCTCTCCTGTTTTTGGTTACGAGGTGCTAATGCACCTACATCTGTGAAGCTTGAACATACCAGGAGTTCCTTAATTTTAATCTCCATTTCCTTCATAGAAACCATATTGATTGAATAAAGTGAAAAAGATAGAGATTACGCATCAGCAAAAGATGGTTGGAAGGCAATATTAAGAAAAAAGAATCCAATTATGTCAAGGATTGTAATATTTAGGGAGCTGACAGGCAGAGAAAGAGAAGGAAAAGATTTGGTGGGGGGTGCAACAAATAGAAGACAAACTCTAAAACTTCTTGTGCTTGCTCCTTGCAATTTGCCTACGTTCATGGGTGAGAGAGGATAATCCACTATAAATAATAGAGTACAACGGTGAGATAAAAATAAACAAAACCCGACATCAATCCTAAGACCCCTGCTCAAGGGTAATTGAATCCCTGAGTCCTCATAGGTTTCACGCTCATTGATATTTTTGTAACTCACCCCTCACCTCTTTATCATGCACCCCCTAATACAACACTCCGGGCTGTCCTTGTAGCACCTTTGATTATCTTCCCTCTCACACTCACACTTCTCATATATCCATATATACACATGAGAAGGTTGAAGAGATACAAATCCACACCTTTTCCTCTTTCCTAGAGTTGCCAGCCCGTAAAAACTGTATACCAGACAATGATGATCTGCAATGCTTTTTCATTGCTCTTGATATTTGGCTTCCCAATTCAAAGACTTCCCTTTTACTTAATGGTCCTCACATGCAACAGACAAAAACCTTAAATGTGGCCTGTCAACTTTCCAACACAGCTTCTCAATGCAGTATTCCTTTTACAGCTTTTTGTTATCTTCTTTCAATTGCTTTGTTGACATGCTGGAGCATTAATTGCATGCATCAAACCTTTTGATATTCATAGATCCACATGAAAACTCTAGTTAGCAGCAATATACATCACAACTTAACCTATATCATCTCATGCGGTTTATGAATCAAAGCTCTGTACTCGGCCTTTGCTTTTGACCTAGCCATATGCTTCACTTTTTAAGCTTCTTGTGACTGGGAGGGTTTGGTGAGCCATAGGGGAGAGCTTTGAACTTTCCATGTAAGAATTTATGTATTATTGATTGATGTCTTGATTGATAGATTACAAGATGCATTAATTACAATTCCTATACAATCTATATATAGAAGAAAATGTGGTAGTAGGTGTAGTGGAGGTGATAGTGGGTTAGGTGAAGTGGAGTGTGTAGTGGAGTAGAGGTAGGTGAAGTGGAGTGTGTAGTGGAGTAGGTGAAGGTAAAGATGGGAAATTCTAACATTCCATCATCTGTTTGTACCGTGTTGAGCCCCATGCTCAATGGTGGTTCCAGAGGGGGGCAGAGCCCCAAATTCAATTCCACTTTGGTAAACTATTTTTCTGTGAGAGAGCTAGACTGTTTTATATCCATCAGACAGTCACACGACAAAAAAATTATTACCAAGGTGGAATTGGATGCTCCAAAATGCCCTGATTTATAGAGTGCTAGGGAACATCTCAGAGGATTAATGGAAATGACTTTAATCAATGAAGCACAAAGGGTACCTATTATACTTATGTCCTTGGGTTGGTTCACACTGTTATTCTTGGTTAGGATTTCAATAACCAAAACCTATTGCAAGTTTTCTTTTGATTCATGTATATTTGTATTGATGCAATTGCTTTGCTTTGTACTGTCTATGATATTTGCAAATTTGGATTCTCTGCATTTTTTCTGGATTGATTGAAATTCAACTGCTGTATGTTGTTTAGATGTGCGAATTACAACATGGATATTGATTATTGAATTTTTTAGTAATTAAATTTTGTTGATATGCTTAATGCATAACACATATTGGGCATAAACATGCAAGTTTTAAAGTGATTCTTCCATTTTTCACAGTTGATCTACTCTGGCTACGGTTGCAAACAGGGATGGTTCTTCACACCATGCATAAGTGCTCCAAGTTTAAGGTCAGAACACTCCCACCGAATGACATTGTCAATGTTGATTATCTCAATGGTACAACATTCCATGTTATTGGATTCATAGTAGTCAACTTTACTATGTTTTCGATAAGTTGCATGTTTATCAAAGTGTTCATCAGACAAGTGCATGCACTGCAAGCTATGATTATGCTAATGCTCAAATACAAAGTCAAGCATCCATGATTTGTTAATTGTGGGAACCACAGGATACTGGCAATAAAATTACTGAATTATGGCAACCATTTGCTTTACCTTGCCTAATAATTTACTAGTGAACTCTTTAGTTTTTGCTCATTGAAGGTTCCACTAGTGCATTACCAACAGTACTTTTCACTTTGTTTCATGTCCCAACTTTCACTTTGAAGAAATCATATGGTAACTATATTGTTTAATTTAGTAAATTCATGTAGGCATTTATGGCCATGACTCTGTGTCTGGATTTTGGAGAGTACCGCTGCCGACTTCCATCTGTCTGCTGAAACACAAACACAACACGTGTTATAGTTCTTTTGTTCAAGCGTAGTGATATTACTTGTGTACAGTTAGTTACCTCCCCTATGTTGTGATTGCGTAACCTAATCTTTCAAAATAATGACTAGCTTGTCATTGCTCACTTGCATCCTCAACAACATTGTAATTGCAGGGGACTCAAGAACATATTAAGGATGTATGTTAAGAAGGTCAATTGCTCAGAATGGGAACAAGTTTCACTTCCATCAAGGTCAATTTCAAGAGTTTTACTATTTGTTGCTTTGCATGTATTACAATCAGAGTGATGATTTGTTACTGTCTATCACTGTTAAAATACTTTTCGATGACTACAAATATATATACATTTTTTTGTGTGTTCGTGACAAGATTTAAAATATCTTATTCATTGGATTGGTTCCACCCAAATATTTCCCGTCTTGATTTTTTTCTGAAAGTTACATTGGTAAAATCTTCATAGTATTACACATTTAGCCGATTACTATTTCTTCTTTTTCTTTTTAATTTTAATTTCTTGTATGGCTATTTTTTCATGTTTTTTAGTTTTGGATTTTTTTTCATTTCATATACCCTGATAGTTTTTATTTTTTCAGTGTCCGGTCAATAGTTGCTTTAAATCTTAATAACTATGCGAGTGGAAGAAATCCATGGGGTAATCTGAAGCCAGAGTATTTGGAGAAGGTATAATTTTTTGGCCACCTAAAATGCCATATCTATCAGCATAATGATGATGCATTATAGTTGCTTTTTGGTAGGCCTTATAAAAGTTAATGACAAGTTCTTATAGTAGCTATGCACATATAGGTAAATAAAACCAATGCAATGTGTTTAGTAGAGGTCAAATGCTATTTTGAAACCTATAAGAACATTTGAATGGAAAAGCAGAATTTTCTTCTCCTTCAGTTGGTGTGAGGCTGGTTCCCCAATAATAATTCAATGTTATTCCCTCCAAAAAAATAAAATACTGTAAAAATTTATGTATTATTGATTGATGTTTATTGATATCTATTACAATGATTCATGATTCCTATATATAGAAGAGGGTGAGTGTGTAGTAGGTAAGGAGTAGGTGAAGTGGAGGTGGTAGTGGTGTAGTGGGTTAGGTTTTGTGGAGTAGGTGAGGTGGTAGTGGTGTAGTGGGTTAGGTTTAGTGGAGTAGGTTTAAGTGGGTGAAGTAGGTGGAGAGTAGGTGGTTTTTAACAAATACATGAATGATTGCAGATTAGAAATATGATTTTTTTAAAAGCATTATACAACCCAAATGTCCTCGTAACTTACAATTTTAGAATTGTTTTTTGCCCGAATTCTCTTATGTGGCTATGATGCTTCAAAATATGACCATGGTCCCCGGATGCATTTAGACACCTCCTTTAGTTGTTCCCAAAGACATATCCTCTCAGATATTAGGTTTGAGGCATGTTTGTTCTCTTCTTATTCTTCTCTTGGGTGTCTTTATGCTGCATGAGCAGCTATGCATTGCATTTTTTGTATAGGATCATATGTGTTTGTTATTTTGTTTTTATTTGATGATAATTAGGATAGGAACTTATACTGCCTGCTTGATGTACTCTTAGAAAGAAACTATGTCAAACCTCAAGCTAAAAGTGGTGTTATTGAAATTGTTTCTTTGTTTTACAGAGAGGCTTTGTTGGGGCTCATGTGAATGATGGTCTTCTAGAAGTTTTTGGCCTAAAACAAGGATGGCATGCTTCCTTTGTTTTGTCTGACCTTATTTCTGCTAAACACATTGCCCAGGTACCGCATGTTGTAATTTTCTTTCATTCAAGCATGTTGCATATATACTAAACATGGCAGAAAATATATGAAGTTCTAATAGAAAAAGAAAAGAGTAAGGAAGCAATCTCTGAAAACTTATTCTTCATCTTCTTCTTCCGGATCCTCAATATTGAACTGGCTGTATTTATAAACTATGAATAAACTAGCAGGCAGACAGTATAGTCCAAATTCTCATATAACAAAAAAATTTCATTATTTTTGGTGGTTTGTGGATGTTATATTCATATACATAGAAAATGAAAATATGTAAAAAACATATTTCTTTGTTGTGTCAATGGTGAATTCATATCCTGATTTTTATAAAAAACATATGCTTCTTTGGAGGAATATATACAACATTGAAAATTAAGGGAAATAATATTAAGGAACTGAAATTTCTATTAGTGTATACTTTGGGTATTTATAGACTTTGTAGCAACTCTAAGAGCACCTCTAACACCTAATAGGCACATTTTGTGTAGCAAAAATATATAGAAGTGAATTCTGTATTTTGACTAGTTTGTATTTCAACAACAGTTTTTTACTCCTGAGATTATGTTGTCTAGCCTCCAAGGTTGTCCACATGTAGCCTGCATAGGAGGATGAGGTAGAGGCTCCATTTTTGTGTTGAGGCTAGACAAAAATGTCTAAAATGCTTTAAATATCTATTCTATTGGAGATGCTCTAACAAGCAATTTCTACTAAATTCAAATGCTTGATGCCTAACTTTTTCTGTCTGTAGAATGTCGAAATAAAATGGGTAATTAATTAAAAATTATTTACCCCCTCATCAATCTAACACCATATTCTTATAGAGGTTGCAAAGCATGTACCAAGACTTTCGGTTATACTAAAAAAGCTTGACATGTTTCACATTTGTCCTCATTTGGGCTTAGAGTTGTTTGTTTCTCTATTGAAATTAGATATTTCCTTTCATCTGATCACGTCACCTTCTAGAGTTTAATGTATCACCCACAATTTAACTACTGAACCAGTGGCCCTCTATAATTACCCCCAAAGAGTAATGAGGATATTCCCATGTAGTTGTGAACATCATTGTTAACAAAACTTTGTTATTACTACACAACTGTGATAGTCAAATTTTAATGAAGTCTATCAACATCTTGTAGGCTTCAGCGATACGATTTGAGCTTAGAGGTGGAGAGTGGGAAGAAGCTTATTTGCAGATGGATGGGGAGCCATGGAAACAGCCAATGAACAAGGATTACTCTACATTTGTGGAAATTAAGAGAGTGCCATTTCAATCAGTTGTGGTCAATGGGGGAGTATTTTCAACACCTTTATCCAATCAAGCTTCCTAGCCTGGATCATTGGAAATTACTCTTTACAATTCAGAGTCCATGTAAATCATATTCTTATTGGAACGGATGGCTTGTAATTTATATTTATGTGATTATAGTTATTAGCACCGGGTAATTGTTGTATCAAGTTGTAGTCTTAGTCAATCCATTGTGAACAACTAGCCTAAGAATTATTACTGAGAAATTTAGTTATTAGAGTTGCTAGATTATATTTTTCAAAAATGTTTAGTCAAAAGTCTCTCGCTAGCTTCTTAATACGAATGTTAACAACATATCTTTTTGCCCTAGGTGATGGCCAGGAGGATGGGTGGCTATGGGACCGTTTCTGGCCCTCGCCATTGGTACGAGAGGCTCCCCCCAGAGGTCCACACTATCGTTGATGATGTCGACTTCGAGCCTTTCTACCCAGGGCTGAGCCACTGCTATACGAGACCTTGGTGGAGAGGTGGTGGGACACCACCAATTCTTTCCATTTCTCATCGATCGGGAAGCTGGCTCTGACCCCGTATGACTTTTTAATGTTCACAGGCTTGCGGGTAGGGGTTGGCGACCCAATCCCATTCGATCTTGACATGGCACAGTGGAGAACTGCACAGCGTCATCTTCTCAATTCACATCATAGCATAATGTTCAGAAAATGTTTCATATCAAACATAGTTTTACTTAGTTATTACTCACAGATAGTTGCACATATAGCTTGATAGCAACCAATGGATCAATAGCTCATGGCGCGTGACCTACACAAACATAACAGATACACATATTGAAACACTTACTCAAAGAGGGGCAACTGTACACATCCCATTTTTGACCGCTCGCATGACTTGGGCGCTTTATCATTTCAAGAAATTTCACTTTTGATGACTAAATTTTTAGTTGTCGAAAATTTTGCCCGACTAAATATTTTGGTCACCGGATTGGTCGCGGGAAGATTGTCTGGGAAGGTATTGGCGACTAAAAAATATTTAGTCGCCAAAAGTCCTATAAATGGCGACTAATATTTTTAGTCGTCAAAAATAATATTTTAGTCGCCAAAGGGGTTTTATTTTTTTTTGGTCTTATTTTTTTATTTTTTTCATTTTATTTTTTTAACTATTAAATTCTTAGTTGCCTAAAGTTTGTTTGACATTTTGATTTTTTGACTATTTTGTCTAGGGTTAAAAAGTCTCGTTTGCGATACGCTTTTTGACTTTTTTTATTTTTGTGGGAGAAAAAATGAAATGATTATGATTTAAATGTGATATTTTATTTTATTGAGATAAAAATTCTATTTTATCTTTTTATAATTAAAATAGTTAAAGAGTCAAAAAATTTGACATGCCAAACAAAACCTAAATAGCATCTTTGTTTGTTTGTTGATATGCTTTGGAAAGCGATGTTGCACCATTTGGTTTTGGTCATCATTGGAATTATTCGATTCCTACAGTATTATCATCCCTCAACTTCCAATGTTATATTTATTTGAGGGGATGTAGGAGTGTTTTGGGAAGATACTTAAAAGTTATTTTTTTGTTTTTTTTTTTAAATTTTTTATGAGAGGGGGAAGTGGGTTAAAAGTTAAGAAGTGACTTTTAACTCACTTCTCAAAATAGGTTGTACTGATTTTAATTATTCATACGTGCACGAATCTATTGGAATATAGACAAGTAAAACTAAGGTCGAACAAATTCTAAGACAGTGGAATAATCAATTAATTTTAAAATAAATTATCTAATCCAGTTGAATAAATTCTTGAATTTTAATAAAATAAAAAATAATAAAATTGTAAATATTGAAAATGATTTAATCAAATAAATAAAATAATAAGACAATGCAATCTATCACATACGTCATATTCATAATAATAAAATGCTAAGACAGCGGAATCTATCACATAGTTATATTCATCATATTCATATTGAAAATATGGTAATAACTTTCAGTACTTCAAGGGTGAAATATAATTAGACCAAATTTTAGGATATATCAGTATAATTTATCCAATTTATTTTAAATGAAATTTATATTAGAAAAATATTTGAGAACTCGAAATTCCTGAGGTCCAAATAACCCGAATTCAAAACGATGTGGTTTTGATTTTTTTTTTTTTTTTCCTTTCTTTTTTTCTCTCTTTTATCTGTCAAGCAGAGGTAGATTCCGAGCCCGAATTCCATACGACGTGGTTTTGATTTATTTTATTTTTTTCTTTTTTCTCTCTTTTATCTGTCAAACCGAGGAAGAGAGTAAGAGAGCGAAGAAAGGGAGAGAGAAGAAAGGGGAGCCGATCTTCTCACGCCGTCGCCGTCGCCGCCTCCTCCTCCTCCTCCTCTTCCGTCACTGCTGCGACCACCACTGACGCCGCTACACCACCTCCGTCGCCGCCCTCTCTCTTCTCCTCTTCTCTTTTTCTATATGCATATGTGTGTGTGTGTGTTTCATGTTGATTGTCCAGATCTGTATATATGTGTGTGTGTTTCATGGATTTGTGGGTTTGATTTGTTTCATGGATTTGGCTTTGATTTTCATTCCAGATTTGGCTTCTCCCCTATCTCTTTCCTCTCCTCTCTTCTTCTTTCTCCTTTCTTCTTCCTTCTTCCTTCTTCTTTTGCGAGTCATGGAAAGGAAGAAGAAAAGAAAAAAAAAAAAGAAAAAGAAAAAAGAAGCCAAGACGACATGACCTAGCGGGACTGACCATGTATATACAATTTGTGCTTATAGAATTATAACTTTTTAATTTTTTTTTAGAAACTGAGAAATTATTGCTATATTTGAAAAGTAGCTTAAAAAAAGTTTTATTCATGAAAAAAATAATGTAACATTTGACTTTTTTAGGTGATTGGCAATCGGAACTTTTTTACTCTTTTAGAATCACCCCAAACACCCACTTAATCCCTATATATATTTGCTTGGAGCCAAGTCTCTCCCAATACTAAAGTGCAAGTTATTCCACTGCACTGCCCAACTTGTTTCAAAGGCTATGGAGAAGGTTTTTTTAAAGACGCTTTTCTTTGCCATCCTCCTTGTGTCTGTGTCTGGTTAGTCTCTCTCTTTGTCTCTCTCATAAATTTGTGGAATATGAATTACTCCATAATGAATGTGGTCTATAAATTTTATTTGTTGAATAATTTTTCTCAGTACATAGTGGTGCTGAAACACCTAATTAGTCACTAATCACTAGTCCAGCTGCTCTGTGTTCTAAGAAAACTGAGAAGCAAGCAAGCAGCGATTAAACACCCCCATATACCTATCTTGATCCCCTGCAAGTATCAATTAGCAGTATAGCACTTTAAATGATCTCTCATTCACTTTTACATATCAGAATTACAGCATATTCTTGACAATGACTTCTTCTTTCAGCTCTGCTCTTGTATGTCATCTCATTAATTTTGTTTTATTTTTCTTTTAAAATCTCTTTTAACAGTCAGTCGTCTAGCTGGTATAGAATGTTAGAATTTATCTATATATACACACATACATACAGACCATCTCTTCTGGTAAAAAACCACCCGTATTCATTATGGGTACACTAATTCTTTTTTTACTTTTGCTTTCTTCTTCTTCTTGTTCTCTTCCGTTCATGACCCAAGCATCCGCGTTGTTTGTGTTCGGAGATTCAACTGTTGACGCAGGAGACAACAAGATTGAAAGTTGTATCACGGAACACTTTTACCCTTACGGTGTCGACTACAACAATCAATACACCGGCCGCTTTACAAATGGATTAACTGCCGATTTCGTGGGTACCTTACTTACTTACTTACCTAACATTATTTTCAAGTTTCCTTGAGTTTTGTTTTTGCTGTGAAGGTTATTGTGTATTGGTGTTTTAGGTGTTATTTTTCATGAGTGTTTGTTTCTGTTGCAACCTTGCCAAATATTGGTGTCTTTCTGTTGAAGTTTTTTTTATTTTTTTTTTGTTTTTTTTGGGTGGTTCTTTCTCTCCCTTTTCATTATCTGGCTATACTCTTTTCAAATTGGACCTGTTGCCAGTAAAGATTTCATTTTCCATATAAAAAAAAAATTGAAAAAAAAGAGGAAAAGATTACACTGACCAATTCGATTGTAAAATCTGTAAGAATATATGGAAACCATTATCTATAGTTGTAATGTTTTGTTATATGCATATTTCTCAATTTTCAAAAATCGTAAAATTAAAAGTTTTAAATTAATATTTTGGAGATATCTTAAATTTTCCTTTTAAATTTTTTTAGAGAGAATAGATTTAGGAAAATCAAGAAAGGAATTTTTTATTTTTTATTTTAAAAATCAAAACTAATGAGATAATTAATATTTTTTTATAATTATTGGTTTGATGGGTTAGTCAGTAGCTTTTTTAAAAAAAATTAATTTTCAATTGAAAAATTTAGATATTTAGTTAAAAATATTGGAGTTCCCAAATGATCACTTTTGGTTAATATATAGTATAGGTATTCACTTTTTGCTTTACCAATAATAATTTCATTTTTTTTATAAAAAAAATAAAAAGATTACCCAATCAGTTGTAAAATCTGTTGGAATATGTCAATAGTTGTAAATGAAATATATAGGGTTAAAATCAACATAAAAAATAGTAGGAAATATTTTAAAAAACTAAGATTACATATCGAATTAAATTTATTATGGAAGGCAAAACTAGTCAACACCTTCCAAGGCACTTTATATGGCATAAAATCAATCAGTGGAACCATTTACTATTTTATTTTATTTTTTTTAATTTTATTTTAAAGTAGTAAAAATCAATATTTACTATATGGAAAAATTAGTGAAACATTACTCTCTAATTTCTGGTAGTAAGAGGGATCCAATATGATTTTTCTTATTAGTTAAGGTTTCTCAATAATATTATTAGAGAAATTTCAGTTTGTCATTCAGAAATTTCACAAATTTGTGATTTGTAAGATCACTTATATAAGTTCATGAAAATTTACGTAATTTTTTGTAAAGTTACATATGGTGTTATGGTGTATGTTACATACCAGACTTCTTTTATCAACTCTGCTCTTGTATGTCTATCTCATTAATTTTTTTTGTTTTTTTGTTTTAAAATCTCTTTTAATAGTCAGTCGCCGAGCTGGTATAGAATGTTAGAATTTATCTATAAATACATACATACATACAGACCATCTCTTCTGGCAAAAAACCACCCATATTCATCACGGGTACACTAATTCTTGTTTTACTTTTGCTTTCTTCTTCCTCTTCTTCTCTTCCGTTCATGACTCAAGCATCCGCGTCGTTTCCTGCGTTGTTTGTGTTCGGAGATTCAACTTCGCCATGGCTGGGATCAATTATGGGTCTTCTGGATGTGGTATCTTTACCACCACCAGACCCCCCAAGGTGAATTTTTCTTTTCTTTCCACTCCTTTTTAATCCGTGACCTATTTTGGTTCATTTTCTTTTCTTTTCTCAGAGTGAATGCTTCAATTTAGAACAACAGATCGACTTCTTTAAGGAGACTGTACAAGAAGACTTGCCATATTTGATTCCAGACCCTGATGCTCGCAAACAGTATCTTGCCAAATCTATCTTTTTCATTTCCATGGGAGCCAATGACTACTTTTTCACTTATCCTAAATCAAACACAAAGGTCCTCAATCTTTCCTCCTTTCTTCTTCTTTTTCTTTTCTTTTTTTCTTCTTCTGTACTATTACTGTAAGGAGTCTTAACGACTAGAATTTCGTTTATTTGTAGGACCCTAATGAGTTTGCAATCTCTCTCATCTTTGAGTTGAAGATCTACTTAGCCGTAAGTAATCTTCTATTAGAGTGATAGATGTACCTAAGACTGCTGTTTGGTGTGTAGGGTGTTTGGAATTATTTTATTATTTTTTTTTGAAATATTTTTTGTTGACTTATTTTTGTGTGAACTTGTTTTAAAATTTTTCAAAAATATTTAGGCTTCTGATTCTACTCAAATGAGACGAATCCAAAAATTAAAAAGAAAAAAAATTGAAAGCAATTCATAAAAGTTAAAAGCGAGTTTTTAAGCTTATCTTGGCATTTTAATCTTTATTTGGAATTTTTCAAAAATGTTTTACTTTTTAAATTTGTCTACATTGACATAATTCACATAAAAAAAAAAGAAGTCACTAAAAGTAAAAATACTCGAAAAAAGATGTCACGTTTTTATTTATTTGTTCCCAAACAAATTAAATCCCTTCTTCAAATTTTTTTTTTTTTTTTGGCAGATATTATATGAGATCGGAGCCAGACAATTCATCGTGAACAACATAGGTCCTCTTGGGTGTTTGCCATCTCTTAGATACAAGACTATTTCTGGGCAGTGCGATGAAGACATGAACAATCTTATCATGCCATACAACTATCGGCTTCCTAAGTGGCTTAAAACTTGGACTCATTATGATTACAGTGGTAGTGGTATTACCTTTGTCTTGGCAGATAGCTATGGTCTTCTTAATCATATGGTCTACCACCCTCAAGAATTTGGTAATATAATTTATTTATATATTTAATTTGTTACGGTTTTGGAGTCAGAAAAATGAACACAGTTTGTTCATTATCTTTTTCTTCTGTTGTTGTAGGGTTTAAAGATGTAAAACACCCATGTTGCGGACAGGATGTAAATGGGGAATTAGAGTGCCCCCCCAACACCACTCCGTGTAGCAACAGAGATGAATATCTCTTCTTTGATGGTGCACATACCAGCCAAGTGGCCAATCTTGAATTCGCCCTATTATGCGCCAATGCAACAATCTGCAGAGTTATTGAATAAACATGTTTATGAAGTGTTTGGGATGAAAAAGAAGCTCTCTTTTTTGTTGAAGTTATGGGGACAACAATTAATTGAATGGTGAAATATTTAGTATTTTTTTAGGGTTGTGAACATTTCTTATCTTTTCTATACCATTTATCTTTTTGGGCAATTACCATTATGTAGTTTTTAGAAAAAATTATTTACAGATGTGTTTGGTTTTCTGCTTCATAGAGTATATATAATTTCCTATGGATGAGTAAGATGGATAATTGGATTTACTAATCAAAAAAATAATGTTATACACAAATAAATTTCTTGTTTTTGTAATTTCTAAACACAAAGTTAATGAAACTCACATAAACTCATTGTGTCTAATAATAAGAAAATAATGTTAAAAAATCTATTTATATGTAGTATTTTCTACAAGTATTGGGTAGGCCTTGAGGGTTGCCAGCCAGTGTGGTCCTTTGGCCACCAACTAACTATTAACCTTACTAGATATGTGTATTTTTTTGGTATAAATATATTATTATACTATAATATTTTAATATTAAATTATTTTTATATAAAAGAATTGTGGGTGAAAACGAATGGTGAAGAATAAGAAAAATTAATGGTGAAGGAAATATCATACTATTTAAAGTACTGCACTAAATTAGGTAGGACAAAAGGAGGGCAAAATAGTTTTTTTTTTTCTTCAAGAAAGTCTTCCATCCATGTGATTCACAGGGTTTGTTTGTCACAATTTATAGGAGTTGATCATAACTTATTTTAATTTAAAAATTTGTACTAAATTATTTGGTATTATTTTTGCTTATAACTTTTTAGGCAGAAGAAGTTAAATAAATTAAAAAAGTCTAATTATATAAAACCTAGGAGAGGAGTGTTTTTTATTTCTACTTTCTAATTATCAATTTTTAACTTTTTTTTAATCAGCAAAAATAAATTTTATTGAATTAGAACCAAGGATAAATCTATACATCTTACATCAATAAAAATTGACAAAAGCAGTGCTAATAGCACCATAGTGGATCTTACTCACCCCAACTAAATTGGCACAGAGTCATGGCCATAAATGCCTACATGAATTTACTGAATTAAACAATATAATTGTCACGTCCCAATTTTAATTACTCGGAAATATTACCAAAGCCTTCAAATTATGTCCATTTTTTTTTTAAACATCCATTACCCTTGAGTAATAGAAATACAATGATATATGTTTTCTCTCTCTCAATGAACATTACAATGATAACAATATATGTCAATCTCCTACTGTGAAGCTACAAATGAATAAAATACAAATACATGATCCATCACATCTACAATGAAATTACATATAAAAGACACGGACTTCTTAATATCCATTATCTCCATTATAATCACAAGCAATCCATTGAATATATCAACACCAATCCCTAATTCAATTACCATTTCATTTTCCATTCTTTCAATTAATTTCATATCAAACACCGGATCCAATAACAAGTCATCTTCATGAGACACACACTTTACCGGTCACAAGCCGGAAGGAATGCGGAACTTCACGCTTTACCGGTCACAAGCCGGAAGGAAGGCGGAACCTCAACACACCACACTTTACCGGGCGCTACTCCGAAAAGAAGGCGGAACCTATCTCAAGCGCCACGCTTTGCCGGCTCAAAATACGGTGGGAAACGGACCCCAAGATAACATCACAATCCATCATTACAATTAGTGGACAATGCTAAAATTTTTTCCATTATTTCCGTAACACATTAATTCAATATGCATCCACCATATATTAAAATTTCATTCACATAACAAGTACAAATATGTTCCACGATCTTCATCATTATCCATTAAATCATTCATTGTTTTGTCACACAAAAATATAACAACACATCCATAGGGGCAAATATTCATCTTTAAAGTGTTCACAATTCTTGGATTCAAACTATTTCTTTACTTTTCCAGATTATTATCAAGTCTTCAAATTTAATTTTTAAAACACATTGGTTATCAATTACTACCTACGGTTATCAATTATCTCCAACATTTAATTTATTTGATACAACTCCTTCATATAACATCGTCATTTCACAATCTCCCATTTATCATTATTCACACTCATCTTAAACTCAACATAGACTTAATTTCATAAATTTAATGTTGATTGAAGTATCCTCATTTTCCAAAATAAAGCTTCATAACTAGAGTTAAGTATAAAGTTGGACTTTTAGTTTTGAGGTATAAAATCACTTTCTAATTACACAATAAAATTCTTAAATCTTCACTTCATCATCTTATCACAAATTCCGTATCATCTTTCAACTCCCCCCGAGGGTACCAACACAACACCACCCAACACAACTCATCTGAAACTCAACATGACCCAACACAACACAACTCAAACTCAACACACCCAACACAACTCAACTCAACACAATTCAACATGATTCAAACATAATTCATCATAGTCCAACACAATTCGGTTCAACATAATCAACACAATTCAACATAATCAACACTATTTAACATAATTCAAGGTGAACTCTTAAACATTTATTTCATCATTTCACCCAAAGGCTCATGTCATCCATATCATTAATAAATCATTTCCCCAATCTTCATTTCACATTATAGCATAATTTACAATATCCATAACAAAGGTTCAATCGCTAATTTTTAACATAATTTTCAAACACATTCAAAATCCAATTAAACTTTCAACCTTTTAATTTCATGATTCTACTTTCAATTTGGGCAAAATCATTAATTATCATCATGAATCAACCTAGGGTTTTCAAGAAAAATTCAAGAAAAATTAAAACTTCTCTCACCACTACTTTTAATTCTAATTTTTCCCTTGATTACACACCTAAGGTTCATAATCTACTATATTAACCCAACAATTGAACCCCCAACATTTCAAACCCTAAACCCCCAAATTCCATGATATAACACTATATGTTCAAAAATTGAGAGTTTGTATTTATAGAATCAAAATACCACAAATCTATCTATTAATGCAAGTATTGAAGAAGAACTAGGACCCCTACCTCAAGAATCAAGCAAAAAGCAAAGCTTTGATGAGATTCCTTCACAAATCCAAATTCCAATCGGTAGAAATTTTTGAGCTTCAAGCCTTCTTCACTTTTTGGCAAGAGATCTTGGCCAAATCTTAGAGGAATGGAAGGTATTTGGGGTCAAAAACCTAGGGTTTTCGGACCTAGGGTGAGGGGAATGAATAAGGAAAAGGAAAATGCAAAGAATGAGCCAAAAAAATCGCATTTTAAGCTGCTGAATTCGCGCAATCTGCTCGAGCGCCGCTTTTCCAGCTCGAGCGTACTTGTTTCCAGCACAGATTCCAAAACTTCAAACGGGCATAACTCTCTCATCCGGACTCCGTTCTAGGTCGTTCTTGTGTCCAAATCGAAGCCCTAGAAATAAGCTTTCCAATGGTTCTAGCCTCACATCCAAATTCAAAGTGTGGAAAAAGAAAAGGGCAAAAGAGTGACGGCTGTTCGTAGAAAAAGTTATCCGAATTAAATTATCAGTTCACTCTTACTTTACCATCATGCTACCACTTCGATCAATATCCCAAAATAAAATAAGGAGGTTCCAAATACACTAATAAAAATGTCAAGGGCAATCACACTTTCCACGCTCGAGCGCGTGGACCAACAATGCTGTCCGCTTGAGTGACCACCCCTACGCTCGAGCGAAAATTCACAACTCTCAGAATTTCGGACCGTCTGCAAAAATACTGAGAACCTCTCAAGTCCGTTCGAGCGTCAACTCCCCCGCTCGAGTGGAGGGAAAAATTCTGGATCGCTAAAATAGTTACCATATGATTTCTTCAAAGTGAAAGTTGGGACATGAAACAAAGTGAAAAGTACTGTTGGTAATGCACTAATGGAACCTTTAATGAGCAAAATCTAAAGAGTTCACTAAGAAAAATATTAGGCAAGGTAAAGCAAATGGTTGCCATAATTCAGTCATTTTATTACCAGTATCCAGTGGTTCCCACAATTAACAAATCATGGATGCTTGACTTTGTATTTGAGCATTAGCATAATCATAGCTTGCAGTGCATGCACTTGTCTGATGAACACTTTGATAAACATGCAACTTATCGCAAACATACTAAAGTTGACTACTATGAATCCAATAACATGGAATGTTGTACCATTGAGATAATCAACATTGACAATGTCATTCGGTGGGACTGTTCTGACCTTAAACTTGGAGCACTTATGGATTGTGTGAAGAACCATCCCTGTTTGCAACCGTAGCCAGAGTAGATCAACTGTGAAAAATGGAAGAATCACTTTAAAACTTGCATGCTTATGCCCAGTATGTGTTATGCATTAAGCAAATCAACAAAATTTAATTACTAAAAAAATTCAACAATCAATATCCATGTTGTAATTCGCACATCTAAACAACATAGAGCAGTTGAATTTCAATCAATCCAGAAAAAATGCAGAGAAACCAAATTTGCAAATATCATAGACAGTACAAAGCAAAGTGTTAAAACCTATCACCTACTTCACCCACTTAAACCTACTCCACTAAACCTAACCCACTACAACACTACCACCTCACCTACTCCACTAAACCTAACCCACTACACCACTACCACCTCACCTACTCCACTAAACCTAACCCACTAAATCCACATACTCTCCACCTACTTCACCCACTTAAACCTACTCCACTAAACCTAACCCACTAAATCCACATACTCTCCACCTACTTCACCCACTTAAACCTACTCCACTAAACCTAACCCACTACACCACTACCACCTC